GGTAGTTATGGCAATAATTGTGGTAGTAGCAGTAAAAATTATGGTTTTGGCAGTGATTGTGGCAGTGTGAGTGCTACAGGTATCAGCCAATTCCAAATAATTATTATAAGAATGCACGGGTCATTGCTATAGTATGTTTTGTACAACTGTTATCTTCTCATCTGGGTACCAGTAGAGCTCTGCAAACCATGAACCAACTAACCATTTCCCTTTTCCCCCTGTTTTTTCCTAGGGTCAGTTTGCTCCCATTAAAGGCAACTATTCTCCAGGATTCAAACAGTTGGTGCGTGACCTTCTGCAGCGGGACCCCGAGTTCCGCCCCACTGCTGCTGAGGTACGTTATGCTGGGGCTGTAATAGCCCAACACACACACATGTGAAATGAAAGTGACACGGTAATAAGTTTATCCTAGTCCCTTATTAAGTTATGATAAGGAAGAGTGGGAGTTGGGTTGTTTGTTTCAGTTATGTTATTGTGCATACTGAGTTGCTCTGCATTATATATTGTCATCCTGTGTCATTAATCGTCATTCAGGGTGGCAGAAAGAACAAAATTAAAAAAAACAGCATTAGTGTAATGAATTGCCTCTTTCTGGAGTAGCCCCAGTGGCTGTCTAAAGCTATCTTGGTGAGATTGATCCAAACTAAATGGTTGCATCAATTGCAGAAATTCAATTTGGCTTACTTAGGGCTAGAGCCAGAAATTCGCCTCCCTCACAGAGGTACAGGGAGCGAGTGACAATCCGCTATTCCATCGGAAAATGCTTCCAGAAAGTCAGTGAAGCTTTTCAAACAGCTGTAGGATTCACAGATAATGAAATCTTGAAATGGCCAAACAACTCAGCAAAGATTCACACAGAAGGAGGAATTCCCACAAACCAAATTGAAACTCATTACAGTAGTACTGATTACCACCACCAGGAAGCCTGGCCCCAGCCCCCATTCAGTTTCCTGGGTCAGTTCTGGAGCTGATGAACAACCCAGTGACAAACCAACAAACCTGGAGGGAGAGGGGTGGGATGAATCATGGAGCCACCTTTACACCTCTAGAAAGGGTCATTTCATTGCACACAATGCTGGGTTTCTGGAAGGAGACCCCTGGTGGCTCCTTGAAGCTAACTAACCACAGAGAACAAATACAGGACTTACTAGGAAGGAGGAGAGACGGCAGGCACCAGGATGAAGAAGAAAAACCAGGCCAGATGACACGACCCAAGCAACACACAATCAACTGGAACCAGGAATGTTGACCAAATTTCTGAACTGCCAGAACCCTGTTAAAATCCAGAAACCGAGCCCAAATATCAGCTCAGGACGTGTTGGAGGAGACTGTGGCTAGAGCCAAGTATTTATGAACATCATGAGCCTGATGGAAGACCACAGGATGGCTAGACTTATTGACATTGAGGACAACCTGAGAACTGTGATCCTTGGAATGGTGGGACCATGGAAGCAGGTTCAACCAACAAGACATCCACCGAGACAAAACTAGGAGCCTGCAGGTAGCAGTGAAGAGTTGCCACCTGACACAACAAATGATGCACCCCTGGCCAAACCAACCAAGCATCAGTTACCAAAGGACCCCCTCCAGAAATCTGCTGACTCATTTTTCACCAGAAAAGGAGGAAAAGGCTGTAAATGAACAAACTGCCCATCAAGGCCGAAGGAACAGAACTTCCACCTACAGAGAAGAGCTTGAAGCTTCCCAATCCTACAGCTGGATGTAAGTGCCAACTAGAATATGGCCTTAAAAATCATGAGTCAAAGGGAAAACTGTAAACTGAGGTAAGGAGAGAAAAATCAAAATCCGGTCAAGAGACCAGGATTGCTCAGGCGCAGCATGAGCAAGCCGGAGGGGAAAAAAATATGAGACAATTTGGTAAATGGCACCCTAGAGGTGTCAACATTGAATGCAAGCAACAGTGGCTCTTTTAGTGCCTAACAATAAGAGGTGACAGTATTAGGCATGATGCCAATTGAGAAACAAGCCAAAATAGACAGAACAGATCTGACTGAAATTGAAGATGATGAAGAGACAAGTAGTGGCAAAATGAGCATTAGACAACTTCATACTGCCACTGCAATGAAAGATGTAGGTGGGACACCAACAAAACAGCCAGTAGGTACAACAAGGCTAGTAGGCACAGCATTACGAGCTAGACCTCATTTTCCTGTAATTACTGATAGGTAGATACCCACTTGCCATGCAAATAGTGATAGACAGATCAAAAGCTCCAGATGTGAAGAACAAAGAAGTGAACCAGCAAAGTACACCACTAGGCTGATCTGCTGGAAGAGATGGATCCTTGGAAAAATGGCCTGGTTCAGACACTGGGCCAGCAAACCAAGGGCTGGCCACCAAGTAGCTAGAAGGAGCACCCTTTGAGTTCAATGCCAGACTGGATGGTGCCCAGAGCAACAACTGAATTGGGGTATAAAGGTAAATGCACTCCCGCCTCAAGGAGCCCAGTTAAAAAGCATCCACTGCGAGAATCTCACAGTCAAGGAACAGAGCCATGTAGGATGGAAGGCACTGGTTCTACGCCAATGTGAAGAGGTCTGCCTTGGCCCGATTAAACATCTCACTGAGCCAATGGAAGGACACTTCGTCAGCGGTCCACTCTGTGAAAATGGTATGTAAGTGAGATGACCCATCCACAAGGGTGACGCTGAGCAGTGAGACTCACATTCCTAAGTCTAGAAGTACAGTATCACCTCTTGCTCCAGTTTACCATTCATTTGTGAAAACCATTCACATTATAAATTATCATGTTTAAATTTGGCTACCTGGAGGCATTACTGCCAGTCATGCCCATTGTTGTAGGGATGTTTCCTGTGTAACAAGTATTGATGAGTGTCAGATTTATACCAGATTATAATAACAGTACTGATATACACTTATTTACAACATTATTTACAAAGGCTTCATCATTCAGGATGACTTTTATTTAGTTAATCACTTATAATGCTAATTAATTACTATAGTTTATGCCAATTTTATTTTAGTTTGCTTAATCCAGATGATTCCTGTTATAGCATTGTAATCCCTGCAGGTTGTGTCAGAGCGTCTTCCGGAGCTGCTAGCCCAATTTTACGATAATATGGGCATGGAGGAAATTGACGACGAGCTCAAGCAGTCTATCGAGGCTGCCAGACAGACCCATGCCTCCAGGTACCCAACTTAGTGGTTTAAGTTTCCTGTCAATGAGAAGTTTGGACAGGATTTGACTATGATTAAGCTTTACTAGTGAAATGAAGATTTACCCATGAGTTATGGATTTACTCTTATGAGCTGGGGTTTTACCCTTTTGCTGGGGTTTTACATATTTTGGGGATTTTTACCTATGAGCTGGGGTGTTTAGCCATGAGCTTGGGTTTTAACCATGAGCTGGGGTTTTAACTCTAAGCTTGAGTTTAATCCATGTGCTTGGCTTTAATCCATGAGCTGAGTTATAATCTATGCACTGGGGTTTAATCCATAAGCTGAAGTTTAATCCATGAGCTGGGCCATAATCCATAAGATAAGGTTTAATCCATGAGCTTTGTTTTAATCAATGAGCTTGGGTTTAATCCATTAGCTAAGGTCTTAAATTATAAGTTGCAGTTTTACCCTTGTGCTGATGTTTCACTTCTGAGCTGTTGAGTACAGGAATGGCTTCGTTATTCAGGTCATCTCGGCCGCCCCGCTCGGTGGTCTACCACATGAAGGTCTACGACTCCGCAATTAGCCTCAACCCAGTCCCTCTCCCTCCTAGGACCCGAGTTAAGGAACTGGCTGTCTCCAGCACCCACCTTGTTCTCCTTACCTCAGGTATTGTCCCCCTTGATTGTGTTTATATGACCTACTTTCCTGATAGTGTTTACTGTATATTACTACTTTTCCTGGTTATGTTTATATGACCACCTTCCCTGGTCGTGTTTATATGACCACCTTCCCTGGTCGTGTTTATATGACCACCTTCCCTGGTCGTGTTTATATGACCACCTTCCCTGGTCATGTTTATATGTCCACCTTCCCTGATCATGTTTATATGACCACCTTCCCTGGTCATGTTTATATGACCACCTTCCCTGGTCGTGTTTATATGACCACCTTCCCTGGTCGTGTTTATATGACCACCTTCCCTGGTCATGTTTATATGACCACCTTCCCTGGTCATGTTTATGACCTGTCCCTCAACTGAAAGTATTAATACTTGACCTGCCCTTGTACTGAAAGCATTAATACTTGACTTGCCCTTGTACTGAAAGTATTAATAATTGACCTGCCCCTGTACTGAAAGTATTAATACATGACCTGTCCTTGTACTGAAAGTATTAATACATGATCTGCTCTTCTATTGATAACACTAATACATGACCTGCCCCCTCTATAACAACTAAGGAATTCTTTCCTGGTTCTCCCTGATTTTCCTTCCTTTATTCCCTCCCGTTAATTCCCTCTTCCTTCTTCCCTCCATACGTGTCCCCTTTCTCCTTCCTTCCTGAAGAGTCTCGGGTGGCGCCCATGCAGGATATTGGAGCCATTACCTTATGGAGTGACAAATTATTTACTGTACAGGGAACCAGAGTACCCCTCAAGACTGTTCTGTAACCCTGTTGTCAAGATATTCCCCAGGCACCAGGGTCTCCATGAGAAGGCTTAACCCTCTCTCTCTGCCCAAATGATGCCCACCTGGAGTTCTAAGATGTTTCCTGGCCTTGTGATTAGTTCCTTGGTGCCCAGGGATAGAGTTTCATAGAAAGTTTACTGTGAGAACTTTGACAAAATTAGTGTGGAATGAGGCTCAGTTGGGTTAGAGCATTGTTATCAGACAGGGAAGAACCGCCCACCAGAAATAGCAGAGTAATGAAGGTAAATGACTCCTAAGTTTTATTCATTGTAGATCACACCATTTTGCCATTTGTAGGAATATTTAGAATAGGGTATAATTGATTTTATTAATAAATTGTATGTTTAAGTTTCACTTGGCATTTCAGTGCATTCCCTTGTCATTTATGTGAGCATATATCAACTGAAGCTGGCTTAGTCTCAGTGATTCTCTAAGCCATATAAAACCTAAAATAACAATCAACTAATTTGCTGTAATTAATAATAATTAAACATCTGTTTCTTAAGTAATTATCAAGAGAAAGATTAAGTGTGCGTTTTTCCTATCCTTGACTTTTCCCTCACGTGTCATGGATAATACTTGCCAGTAATTATCAAAGACCTAGATGTGGAGGTGGTGGCAGCTGCAGTATTTAGAATAGATAGCTCTTGCATATAATTACCCTTGGCATAATATTCTGCCAATATTCCAGTATGGTGTCTCAATCTTCCACTCCTGTAGGGGTGGCTGTGGCGCTCATTTATTGCCTTGTATGTATATATCCATTGGGGCTAGGGTTCTAAAAGTTACAAAAGGATTCTAAAAAATGTACAATAATGTTACACTTCTACTGATGGTGTGAATACATGACCTGCCCCTCTACTGGTAGCATTAATACATAACCCTCTTTCCTCCCTGCTGATAGCATTAGTATGTGAACTCATGCTGCCTCATGAGTTCTTATGAACTCATGCTTTATTAATATGTGACTCTCCTGTCTCCCAGCTGACAGTATTCCTATATGATTTGTGCCCCCTCCCTCTGATGCCAGAGTGCCTGGTGTATACGTGGGGCGAGGGCAAGAAGGGTCAGCTGGGTCACGAGAGCTTAGAGGCGTGGCGTGGGCGGCCAGCAGTTGTGGAATCCCTCAAGGGAAAGGCAATTACACGTGTGTGTGCTGGTGATGGCTTCTCCATTTTCGCCTCCGATAATGGCATTGTCATGACGTGCGGCGATGGGACCTCCGGCTGCCTTGGCCATGGTGACTGGAATAGCTCCACTAAGCCGAAGCTCATAGGTTTGTACCATTGGCTGGTCTGCCATACACAGTTTTCTTGATCATTTAGCCTAGCTGTTTCATATATTACAAAGGAAATTGTTGTTTTGTTAAAATTTTTCAGGTCTTTCAATGGGCTACAGAAAATAATATGAAGTTTTATGAAGATAAGTTCCAGCTCCTGTGCTGTGGAAAAAGTGAATATCTAAAAATGGAAACATGCATAATACAGTCAAATCCTGCTATGTAACAAAAATAAAGCACTATAAAGGATTTAGGAGTAATCATGTCAGAAGACATTACTTTTTAAAGAACACAATAAAGTAGCTGTCATGACTGCAAGAAAATGACAAATTGGATAATAGGAAGCTTTCAAATAAGAGATGCCTTACCACTGATGATGCTTTTCAAGATACTAGTGCTCTCTAAGAGTGGAATGCTCCTGGGCAATAACAGCCTCATAAGAGTGGAATGCTCCTGGGCAATAACAGCCTCATAAGAGTGGAATGCTCCTGGGCAATAACAGCCTCATAAGAGTGGAATGCTCCTGGGCAATAACAGCCTCATAAGAGTGGAATGCTCCTGGGCAATAACAGCCTCATAAGAGTGGAATGCTCCTGGGCAATAACAGCCTCATAAGAGTGGAATGCTCCTGGGCAATAACAGCCTCATTCAAAGCTGGAGAAATTGGTGACCTGGAGAATGTGAAAAGATCTTTACCTGCTAGAATCCACTGAATAAAACATCTACCATAAATTATTGGGAATCCAAATATGTACATGGAATTAATACCACATGAGACCAGAAGGCTGATGAAGTTGATGAAATTGATGATGATTAAGCCACTCAAGAGGTGGCACAGGCTTGAATACCCTGTAAGTGGTAAACCAGAAGGCATTGTAGGAAGTGCAATATAGCTGCATTGAAATGCTGAGGTGCAACAGGTACTCTGAGTGTAAAAGGCCCAATACTTTTAAACACTCTCCCGCTACACATGAGGGGCATAACTGGCCGACCCCTCTCGGTGTTCAGGAGAGAACTTGAACACCTCCAAAGGATACGTAATCAATTCATATGTCAGGCTGCAAGCAACTGTGTCCAACAGCCTGGTTGACTAGACCACCAACCAGGAAGCCTGTTCAGACACCAAGCCGTGGGGACGTTGATCCTTGGAACTATCGCATGGTTACCGCAAAGTAAGGTATGTGTGGTTTGTATAATTACCTAATTGTAGTTACAGAAAGAGAGTTATGCTTGTGGAGTCCCATCTTCGATATATATATTTCTCCATATGCAGTCCTAAAAATAGCTGTATTATATTTATGACACAACTTTCTCCAGACAGCTTTTCCATTCCCCAGTTACTGTTACTGAAGAATAGATTTTGTATATTATTCTACCCCATCCTCCTGTACAGATCGCACCTATTGTGACGATCGTCAATAGTTAGAATTTGTACATTCTTAGCTTTTAGTTAGTAGTATAAATGACTAGTAAGGAATTCTTTTAAAATAAATGAAGCTAAAATACAAACTTAATATTTCTAAGCCTAGTATAACACACACATATATGTATTATATTAGGCCTTAGATATGGTGTATTAGGCCTAAGGAGATTAGGTTGGGTTTAGTTTGTCAAAGCAACACAAATAAAAAATAGTTTTCTGGTTTATCCAACTCAATAGTTTAGATTTCTTTGTTCTAATTTTGTTGTATGTTTGTATATATATATTATGGTCCTCGTCGTTACTATAAGTACTGTAGACACGCGATTATCCGGAATCCGACCATCCGGAAAACGCCCTTATCTGGTTAAAATCGAGGCCGGATAAAGTTATCTCACTATCCGGCCAAAATGTCCATGGGAGTCGGAAAAGCAGGTGTTTGGCTGGATACGAAAGCCAGGCGGCGGGTCGTACTGTATTAATCCTGTATGACTGTGGCTCGAGGCGCATGGTGTAGGAGGGGGTGGGGTGGGTGGGTGGTGTTGGGAGAGGGGAGCGTTGGGAGGGACTACCTGGAGGGATAATGGTCAGGAAGGGAGGGAGGGAGTTGGTCAGGAAGGAAGGGAGAACTGTTGAGTGTGTATGCGACTCGCTTAAGCCTAACGATGGAAGGTGGCATTGACGTCATGCTCGTTTCTTTTAAGGGAGTTCTATCCACTTGTTCGGCTTTTGTAGCAATATTTTCACCAGAATAGGGGTTTGTTTTGGGATGCTTATCTTTCTGGGTGCCAGATCCGGTTGATGGCAGACATAGAATGCTTCCAACCACACGGGAGTTTCTATACGCCATTGTTCCCCATGCCTCTCTGAGGGGCCAGATTCAGGCTCGTGGTCCCTGGTAGGCCCACAGAACTCCATACACATGACTGATGCCAAAGTCTGACAGTAGTATATCAGCCTAGTAAGCTCTGGGGAGCCTCTGGGTCACACTCAGAAAATGGTGTTTCATTACATTTAATGCTGTTTTTTTTAATTGATGTGTTTAATTCATTTTGCTGTTTATGTGGTCATGTGGTGACATTAGCTTGCAACAGTCACTGTAAGCTTCCTTTTCTTCACTAATATTCTATTGCCTAGGCTGTAGGTAACTTAGGATCTGTCATAACCTTCCCCACTTCATTTGCATTTTTCCATGTTAAATTCTATTAGTCATCATTTATTGCAGTTGCTTAGTTTGTTCAGTTCATGTTGAAGGATATTGTGGTCTCTTTGAGACTTATTTTGCTTGAGTATTCTTGCAGCATCTGCGAACATATTCTTGTAACTCTTATGTTCCGTCAGGCAGGTAATTAATATAGCTATAAACATTATTTGGCTAGCATTGATCCTTGCTGTACTCCATTAGTTACTACCAGGCTGATAGTCCTACCTTAATATTCACCCTCAATTTATTGTCTTATGCATTTATCACCATCTCCCAATACCTCGCTCATACCAACCAACACCTCCCCATTCCGAACACTAATCAACCTCCCTTCTCTGACACACTTGTAAACATTTCTCAGCCCACATTCACCAGTTCACTCCCAAACATTAGTCAGCATCTTCCTCTTTCCATACACAATCAAGACTTCCCCCCAACACTAATCAGAACCACCTCCATTGTATTAATAAAACATCTTTTACCCACTAATCATTGCCCATAAACTAGTGACATTCCACCTTCCCAATTCTAATCAACACATTTTCACTAATCAGTGAAGAGCTAGGGAAGCTCTTCACTGGTTAGTAATTTACTCCCCTTCCAAGCTAGCAAAATTCTGTAAATCAGCAGTTTTCCACAAACTAATCAACATCTCATTTTCCCCCTGTACTAATTAGCATTACCTCCACAGAGCGCTTGCTAGCAGTGGACGTAGGAGGCATCAGCTGCGGGAGTCAACATGTGGTGGTGGTGGCAGCGGAGGGTGTCGTGCTGACCTGGGGTCGCGGAGAAGGGGGCAGGTTGGGAACTGGGAATGAGGACGACTTGTAAGTATGATAGAGAGGGAGGGAGTGATGGATGAAAGAATGAATCAGGGACATTAGGATGGAAATGAGGTAGATATGGACATTGTGTTTACATACCAGAAAAGGTGAAGACAGATGAAAACAGCAGAGCATTTGATTGAAGTTCCTGGGACTTTAGGCAACCTGTTTGCTCACCAAATATATTGCAATTTTTAAAGAATCGACCAATCCGTGAAAATGTGATGTATTACTGTAGTCAAATTTAAATCACCATAATATTGACATTTTCTCTGCATTAGCTTTGATAGATTAGTCAGGGTGCTTGGATTTGTACATTTCTGGTTAGGCAAAACAATTGCATTTTTATGAGAGAACAGGCTGGTTTTAGAACAACATATTAATTCTAAACTATAAATAATTTATTGAGGGATGAGGTTGCAAAAGATCCTTTCATACCTATTCTCAACTAATTATTCTAGCACAGAAAAAGATAATGGAGGAACTCTACACCCTTTCACCTTACAGGTGCCTATCTACACCTTTTCACCTCCAGGTACCTTCCTACACCTTTTCATCTCTGGGTGTCTGGGGGATTATGTGATCTGGGAATTATGATGTTTGACAACCTGACATTTAGTAAATATAACCAAACAAATGTAGCAAGAGCTAGGAAAATGACAGGATGGATTATGAGAGTGTTAAATCCTGGAATCTCACAGTAATGCTAATACTAAGTCACTGGTGCTGTCCCATCTTGAATACTGCTCAGTACTCACCTCTTTCAGCATAGGAGAGATTTGTGAAATAGAGGAAATACAGAGAACATATACAGTAAACATAGACACGGTAAAGACCCTAAATTATTGGGACTACCTCAAATCCCTCAAAATTTACTCTCTGGAAAGGAGACAAGAGAGGTGTCAAATAATATATACATAGAAGATACAGTATTAGGGGGGTCAGGTCCCAAATTTGTATGGTAGAATACCAACTGACTGGTGCAATAGATATGGAAAGAAATGCAGAATAGAACCAGTGAGAAATAAAGGTGCCTTAGGCACGATCAGAATCAGGTGTCCATGGCTGTTCAATACCCTCCCACCAACCATTTGAGATATTGCCGGAAGAAAAGTAGAGAATTGGATAAGTTCTGGCAAGAAGTACCAGACCAACCGGGTTGTAGTGGATATGTGGGCCAACGGGCAGCTTCAAGCAACAGCCTTTTGAACTAGGTTATCACAAGTCAAACCTGGTCCCATGCTGGGCTCGGGGAGTAGAACTCCCAAGGCCCTCTCCAAGTAAGACGCAGGTAAGACTTATACCTTTTTATAACCAGGTGCATACCTGTACCTTTTCATTGCCAGGTGCGTACCTGTACCTTTTCATCTCCAAGTGCCATATCTATAATTTTTCATCCCCCAGCCACACCTTCCCACCCATCATTTCCCTAGGTGCCTGCCAACGGAAATTGAGCTTCCCGAGGATGTGGTGGTGTCCAACGTAAAGTGTGGGGGTGATGGGACCCTGCTGCTCACTGACCAGGGGGCCATGCTTGCCTTTGGCAAGAACACTAGAAACAAGCTGGGGCTCTCAGAGGGAGGAGGACTCTTCAGCATCAAGTTCAAGGTAATTTGAACTTAGAAGTAAGTTCAGGTTCACTGGTGAGTGCAGCAATTAGTTCAAAGTATTGCTAGAGCTTAACAGTAAGGTCAGGGTATTATTGGAGCTTAACAGCATGTTCAGGGTAATGATGGACCATAGCTGCAAGTTCAGAAGTATGTTGGAGCTTGGCAGCAAGTTCAGTATAAAAGTGAGCTTAGCAGCAAGTTCAGTAAAATAGTGGACCTTGGCAGCAATTTCAAGGTAATATTGGAGCTTAGCAGCAAGTTCAAGGAAATATTGGAGCTTAGCAGCAAGTTCAAGGAAATGTTAGAGCTTAGCAACAAGTTCAAGGAAATGTTGGAGCTTAGCAACAAGTTCAAGGAAATGTTGGAGCTTAGCAGCAAGTTTAGAGTAATGGGGGAATGTTTACTTGTACATCCAAAGTTATGAGAGATGATGTATCGAGATCAAAGTTGGGAGGGGCGATGTTACATGTTCAAAGTGACATTGACATTTAGTATAACATTAAGGTAAAGTAGGGACACTCCTAAGACCGAAGTGCAGGGTTTTCCATAGTCAGGAACAGGAAGGCTGTTAGACCTATCAAGGTTCACTTAGGCCAGCTATTGATATTTGCCAGGATGCATCACACAACCTAACTCTTAGGTACCTGTTTACTACTAGGTGAACAGAGGCATCAAGTGAAAGGAAGTGTGCCCAATTGTCTCTGTCCCACCCAGGGACATGGTTATGAGCTGAAGAAATAGATTTCTGGGTTTCTTTTTAAATTTTGGAATGAATTTCAAGATAATAGACCTGTTCTGCAGCTATGCTAAATTATTTCACTGAAACCAAGATAATTTTGTCCTACTGAAGAATGAACTGAAGAAGGTACTATTGAAGGTTAGGTCACTAGTGTAATTATGTAACTTTAAGCATTAAATTTGTCTACTAAAACATTGCCTGCTCTTTGGTTGCCACAGAAAGACGTAGAGAAGGCACTGGTGGCCACACGGGTGAAGAGTGTGGGGTGCCGGGTGGTGGATGTGGCCATGGGGCCCTCTCACACTGCCATCCTCACAGAGACTGGACAGGTGCGCCGTCACTCTTCTTGTTGCTCTTGCATATCTCACCACGTGTAACACCACCTGTGTCACCACTAGGGGCACCATCTGTGTCACCACTGGGGACACCACTTGACTCATCACATGTAACACCACCTGTGTCACCACTAGGGGCAACACTTGATTCACCTCATGTAACACATGTATCACCACTAGGGGCACCACATGTAACACCACCTGTGTCACAATGTGTGTGCATGGGCTTTGGTGTTTTTTGTATTTAGGTCTAAGTGTAGTTACAGGGCGAGAGCTACAGTTACTGCGAGGGCCATAACTGGACTCGTGGTGTCCCATCTTCCCAGTACTCTTTGTCATATGTTTTGAAACTACTGATGATTTTTGCCTCCACCACCTTCTTGTTTAATTTGTTCTAACTATCTACCACTCTGCAAAAGTGAAGTTTCTAATGTTTTCTGTTGGGAGCCCCTCCGGCTCCCTGGAGTTATCAGACTGATATACATCATAATAGTCTGGGGCATGTCAATTGGGGTTCAACCTACCAGGGACTACATGCCAGAACCTGGCCCCCCTTTTGGGAGAGTAAAAAAAAAAGAGAGGCAAAGGGAGCAATGGCCTATGAAAACTTCCCTTGTATTTGGGGGCATTCGATGTCTGCTATCGACTGGGGTTAGCACCCAGAAAGGTAGGCATAACAAAACATACCCCACATGGTAAAAAAAAAAATTGCAACCAAAGACCGAACAGAGAGGCAGAACTCACCAAACCTAAAGAAACATGCAAACGTCACACACTGCCACCGTGCCGCTTGTCTGTGCAGCCCTCCCCTTCCCCAGGAGAGGAAGGGGGAAGCCCCAGACCCCCACGCCAGCTACTCACACCTTCAGTTTGTTGGCTGATGCGATCTGGGGCAGTCATTGACTCTGGCCTCAAATTCTTGGCAGTATATGTACCTTAGTAGTGTGTCCTGCTGTTTGTAGTGCGGTGGCCAGGAGAAATTTAAGTGTACTGGGGCTGTATACGCTTATCGCTACCTTCCTTAAGTACCCTGTAAGTACTACCCTTGAGTTCTAGGGTTACCTTTCATAGAGCTTTCGGGAACCGCTTCCGTAGGGGTCTTTGCTGCTAGCATTTACCCTACCCATAAGCCAGCTGGGGTTTTCGTGGCCTTTGTTTGGCCTTGGGTAGGAAGTGGTATTGTTGCTGGTGAGGGCGCAAGGTATTGCATAGCTTGCATACCTACAAAGCGGCTGCGTTCTTGTTCCTTCTGGGGACGTTATACTTTTGAAGGGTTTTCTTTATAATTTTGTTTTCCTTACATGGAGGGGGTCTGTCTTCTTTGGCTATTGGTCCACTTCAGGTATTTTGATGGCTCTCCTCTAGGCCTCAGTGATTCTACACATCGCAGGGGTTCAGTTTTTAGCAGTTCTCCCTTGTTAGTTTGGGCCTAACGAGTTTTGCAGTACCAGTACTTTGCCAGGGCTTCCCATAGCAGACAGCCTGCAGGCCTTGGAAAACCTCATTGGGCTCAGTTGACTGATGGATGCATCTTCTGAATTCCACCTCGTCTTGTGCGAGTTTGAAGGTTGCTCTGGGCCCTTGTCTCAGGATGACAGTCACCTGTTTTGCCTCTGTCAAAAGGCAAAACAGAGGTGTCAACGACAAAGGTGTTATTGACACCTTTGACTCGCAAGAGTCTTGCGAGTCATGTTCTCTGCTCGTACTCCAATTTACCCATTCTCTTGACAATGAGGTTCGAGTACAGGTGGCATCAGCCACCTGTACCTAGCATTGCATGCTAGGTTTATGTTGCTGCAACGGGCTAGGTTGGTTGCCCACTCGGATGCCCCGAGGCTGCCCCGTTTTGGTTATAGGGATCCGGGACAGGCAGACAGCCTGTCCCGGTTCATTCCCCTGGCCATGGAATGGACGGTCTGGGTGATAGTCATATATCATGTCTGCCAATCAATGGCAGACATGACTATACTCTCACAAAGTGGAGTGTTCATAAACCATTGCTCCCTTCGTCTCTCTGAGGGAACCAGGTTCTGACTCGTGGTTCCTAGTAGGCTCAACAATCGAATTAATTGATGCTCTAGACTAATATAATGGATATCAGTCCGTTAGCTTCAGGGAGCCTCCAGGGCTCAACCCAGAAATTGGCGTTTCATTTCATTCAACGCTGGTTTTGTGTGTACTGTAGTGGTCATATCATCTATTTTGCTTCTATTTTTAACTAGAAGAAAATACAAATATTTAATGCCTCCAGTATCTCCTTGTAGCTCTTGTTTTTCACCTCAAAGAGCCATTTGGTTGCATGCTTTTGCACCTTTTACAGTTTATTGATGAGCTTTTTGAAATATGGAGACCATACCACTGAAGCATATTCACATTTTGGATTCACAAAGTTCATGAACAATTTATTCAATATTTCACTCTCCATGTACTTAAAAGTGATTTTAACATTGGAAAGCACAGCATATGCTCCTTGTACAGTGTTTCATGTATGGTTCTTAGGCGACAATTTTCTATCCAGAAGCATCCGCTAGATCTTTTTCTTTATCAGAATTCTTTGAAGCTTTTTCACATAATTTGTAGGTTGTGTGTGGCCTATTTTCTCCTATTCCACATTCCATTATGTGGCATTTATTTACATTAAATTTTATTTGGCAAGTGTTGCTCCATACACTTATTTTGTCTAGGTCTTCTTGAAGGGCATAACAATCGTCTAAGTTTCTTATCTTCCCTAGTAGCTTAGCATCATCAGCAAACATGTTCATATAATTCTGTATTCCTGCTAGTAGACAGTTAATGTAAGCAATGAACATTACTGGTATAAGATCTGAACCCTGTTTCTCCAGTCTGATACATTGCCTCTGATTACTGCCCTCATTTTTCTGTCAGAAAATTATCATCCATGTTAGAAGTCTTCCTGTCACTCCTCCAGTACATTCCAGTTTCCAGAACACCCTCTTGTGTGGGACTCTGTCAAGAGCCTTTTTCTGGTCTAGATGTGTGTGAGCACGGATGATTTATGTGAGTGTGGTGCGGGAATGGATATTTTACGAATAGATCTGTGCAAGTATGGGTGTTTTGCATGTGTAGATGTGTGTGTGCATGGGTATTTTATGTGTATAGATGTGTGTAGGCATCTAACCATCTTAACCATCTTATATATGTAGATGTACTCACCTAATTGTACTCACCTAATTGTGCTTGCGGGGGTTGAGCTCTGGCTCTTTGGTCCCGCCTCTCAACCGTCAATCAACTGGTGTACAGATTCCTGAGCCTATTGGGCTCTATCATATCTACATTTGAAACTGTGAATGGAGTCAGCCTCCACCACATCACTTCCTAATGCATTCCATTTGCTAACTACTCTGACACTGAAAAAGTTCTTTCTAACGTCTCTGTGGCTCATTTGGGTACTCAGCTTCCACCTGTGTCCCCTTGTTCGCGTCCCACCAGTGTTGAAAAGTTCGTCCTTGTTTACCCGGTCGATTCCCCTGAGGATTTTGTAGGTTGTGATCATGTCCCCCCTTACTCTTCTGTCTTCCAGTGTCGTGAGGTGCATTTCCCGCAGCCTTTCCTCATAACTCATGCCTCTTAGTTCTGGGACTAGTCTAGTAGCATACCTTTGGACTTTTTCCAGCTTCGTCTTGTGCTTGACAAGGTACGGGCTCCATGCTGGGGCCGCATACTCCAGGATTGGTCTTACATATGTGGTGTACAAGATTCTGAATGATTCCTTACACAGGTTCCTGAACGCCGTTCTGATGTTAGCCAGCCTCGCATATGCCGCAGACGTTATTCTTTTTATGTGGGCTTCAGGAGACAGGTTTGGTGTGATATCAACTCCTAGATCTTTCTCTCTGTCTGTTTCATTAAGTACTTCATCTCCTATTCTGTATCCTGTGCCTGGCCTCCTGTTTCCACTGCCTAGTTTCATTACTTTGCATTTACTCGGGTTGAACTTCAACAGCCATTTGTTGGACCATTCACTCAGTCTATCCAGGTCATCTTGTAGCCTCCTACTATCATCCTCTGTTTCAATCCTCCTCATAATTTTTGCATCGTCGGCAAACATTGAGAGGAACGAATCTATACCCTCTGGGAGATCATTTACATATACCAGAAACAGTATAGGTCCAAGGACTGACCCCTGCGGGACTCCACTTGTGACGTCTCGCCAATCTGAGACCTCACCCCTCACACAGACTCGTTGTCTCCTGTTGCTTAGGTATTCCTCTATCCACCGGAGTACCTTCCCTCTCACTCCAGCCTGCATCTCCAACTTTCGCACTAGCCTCTTGTGTGGCACTGTATCAAAGGCTTTCTGACAATCCAAAAATATGCAGTCTGCCCACCCTTCTCTTTCTTGCCTTATTTTTGTTGCCTGGTCGTAGAATTCAAGTAACCCTGTGAGGCAGGACCTGCCATCCCTGAACCCATGTTGATGCTGTGTTACAAAGTTCCTTCGCTCCAGATGCTCCACTAGTTTTTTTCGCACAATCTTCTCCATCAGCTTGCATGGTATGCAGGTTAGGGACACTGGCCTGTAGTTCAGTGCCTCCTGTCTATCCCCTTTCTTGTATATCGGGACTACGTTAGCTGCTTTCCAAGTATCTGGCAGTTCCCCTGTTGCCAGTGATTTGTTATACACTATGGAGAGTGGTAGGCTCAGTTCTCTTGCTCCTTCCTTTAGAACCCAAGGGGAGATTCCATCTGGGCCTATAGCCTTCGTCACGTCCAACTCTAGTAAACACTTCCTTACTTCCCCACTGGTAATCTCAAACTCTTCCAGTGGTTCCTGGTTAGCTATTCCCTCACTTACCTCTGGAATTTCTCCTTGTTCTAAGGTGAAGACCTCCTGGAATTTCTTATTCAATTCCTCACACACTTCCTTGTCATTTGTAGTGAATCCTTCCGCCCCTATCCTTAATCTCATAACCTGTTCCTTTACTGTTGTTTTTCTCCTAATGTGGCTATGCAACAATTTAGGCTGAGTCTTTGCCTTGCTTGCGATGTCATTTTCGTATTGTCTTTCTGCCTCTCTTCTCATCCTGACATATTCATTCCTGGCATTCTGGTATCTAGATGTGTGTGGGCATGGGTGTTAGCTTTTTAGTACTGAAATACTTTAAGCTGGTGTATCTAGAGTAGAAAGTGAACTTCTTCAAGACATGTGCATACTAAAATGTTGACAGCTAATACCACTCCTCTCCCGGCTGCAGGCTTTGACATTCGGCCGTAACTGCGAGGGCCAGCTCGGCAAGGGAAATACTCGCTCCGTCAGTCAGCCAGTGCTTGTCCGCAGCATGTCTTCTAAAATTGTTACTGTAAGCTCTCATATCATCATATAACTTCTGAGTAAGTTGAATTTCACGATTCAGCTCCTCATATACTTCTCATATCCTGCTCTACCATATACTCCTCATATCCTGCTCTACTGTATACTTCTCATATCCTACTCTAATGTACCTCATATCCTGCTCTAGCATATATTCCTCATATCCTGTTCTAATGTACCTCATATCCTGCTCTAGCATATATTCCTCATATCCTGTTCTAATGTACCTCATATCCTGCTCTAGCATATATTCCTCATATCCTGCTATACCATATATTTCTCATATTCTGCTCTACCATATACAGTATTCTTCATATCCTGCTCCTCCATATATTACTCATATCCTACTATACCATATATTCCTCATATTCTGCTCTGCCATATATTCCTCATATCCTGCTCTAAGATTTAAGCCTCATAACCTACAAAATAATGTAATGCACATATTTCTCAAGGCCCAGCATTCCAACCAATCCTCCTATTTAGGTAATACTTACAGTAACGATGAAGACCATCGTACATCTATTGACATAAAATATAGACAGAAATTGGAAAGTAGAAATCGGTACAATTGAATTTGGACAAACCGGAAATGTTTCTGTGCTGATGTTGCAAAGAAAATTTAACCTAACCTAACATTCCTAGGCCTAATAACTGCTATCTGAGGCCTAATATAGTACATATAAGTGTTATACTATTCCTAGGAATATTTAAGTTTGGTTTTTAGCTTTATTTTTATCAGACTATAAAGGGAATAGCACCAAATTCTACTATAGTATCTAATTGTCCATTATGTCTATGTATGTACGATGGTCCACAGTTACAATATGTACTATCTAAACAGGAGGATCATATTGGCTCCAGGAACAGGCCAATATGATCCTAGTGGCAGAAAACAGGACCCAGTGTACGGTGCAAAATAAAAATGAAAATGGCAAGCAAAGGACACTGCAGACACTGCATATCTAACTTAACCATACGTAACCTAACTATTTATAGTCATGTATTTTATTTTATTCAGCATTTAGTAAGATACTCATTACCATCTGCACTTCTAATTTCACCAAATTCTTGGTTATTCAAGTAGCAGAATGACCAAACTTTGTTATTGTTTTCACATTTGACAAGGATTTATTAGTTGTGTTTGGTGTGGTGTGAGACAGATGGTCGAGTGCGGGTCGACGTTCACTGTGGCCGGCACAATCAACAATGCCCTCTACCTGTGGGGCACCAGAGCTGTCAGCCCTCACTCCAGACCCAACACACAGGTACGCCACTTCTATCTCTTTTCCTTTTATGAGTTGGTTTGGTTGTATCTTATCTACACTTGCAATTGTGTATGGAGTCTACCTTCACCACCTCACTTAGTGCATTCCATTGGTTCACTACAATTGCACTGATTTTTTTTTTTATAATATCTCTGGGTCTTGTGGGTGCTCAGTTTGCACCTGTGTCCCCTTGTGCAAGTGTCACCCCGTGCTAAATAACTAAATAACTGTCTTTATCAGCCCTATCAGTTTCCCTGAAAATTTTGCATGTGATAATTATGTTTCCCCTAACTCTACTCTCTTTCAGTGATGTGTGTTTGTTTCTTTCTTAGTGACAGAATATTTTTATATGTTTTTTATTTTTTGTATTTCTTAACTTATTCAGTTGGAAAGGAAGATGTAATATTAACCCTCCAGAGTTAATTTTTCCATTTTAAGGGACTTATACAATTGTTGACCAAACCACACACTAGAAAGTGAACGGACGACGACGTTTCGGTCTGTCCTGGACCATTCTCAAGTCGATTGTGATGAGGGAAGGAGGCAAAGGCAATAAATAGGCAAGAGAGGTGAGGAGAAGGAAATCTTAGAGGAAGAAAAAGCAAGGCAAAGGGTACGAAAGGTAAGGTGTAATAAAGGGGATAGTAATACGAATAAGAGAGGGATCGAAAGAGAAAACAAGTGAAAGAAAAAAAGAAAAAGAAAGAAAAAAAGAAAAAGAAAAAAAGAAAGAAAGAAAGAAAGATAGATAAATGGAAGGGTAAGATTATGTTAAGTCACGTTTGTGACTTAAATTTCAGCCACGTTATTGTGACTTCTCGTCTGCAATTGATGCAATTGCTTATGTAGAACTTAGCATCATCAGAGCCAGAGGCAAATTGAGCACAAAAGGAGCTACAATTAACAAATGGAATTTAATGTGAATATAACCAAGGTTTAATGTAATGAAAAGACAGTTTCTAGGTGAGCCATGGAGGCTCTTTGACACTCTCCCTCTGTGACACATGTTTGTGTTGAAGTTTGTGATTTTAGATAGAAAACTGTCACCTGAGGACCATATAAAGAACATTGTGTGAGGCGCCTTTGCCTTGCTTTCTAATTTCAGAATTGCTTTTTAAATACAGTACTTCTTTCCCATGTCTCTATGGCTCGTTTGGGCTCTCTTTCCGCCGGTGTCCCCTGGTGCATGTGTCCCTGGGGTCCTGTACTCAGTCTTTCTCTACCTTCTCACTTCCTTTGAGAATCTTAAATGTGGTGATCATATCCTCGTAGCTCGTACTCCTTGGTTCGGGTACTGGTCTGGTGGCATACCTTTTGCACCTTTTTCCTTTTAGTCTTGTGTTGGGACATATCACACTACTGTGTTGTTGGCGTGACTTGTTGGAACATGCTCGGCGACTCTAATCTGTATGGATGTATAATCTCTAATCTCTTTGGGTGTATGTTGTTGGTCGTGTCCCTTTCATTCCCGTTTGCTACTTGCCTTCTTCGTTCCTCATCTTCCTTCTACGCTCTTGTCTCTGGCCGTTAGTGCTGGAGCTTTTCTTCTGGTCTTTCTCTTGTGTTTTTCCGTTTTCTCATTTTATCCTACACATGGATGTGTGTTTTGTTTGTGCCTTTTGGCCCTCCTATTGCCAGGTTTGGGTTCCTGGTTTCCTGGCTTACCCTGTCTGTTGGCATTTTCACGGTCTCTCGGTGTCCCTTCTCTGGAGTTTTGCATCGGGACTGTAGTCTTCTGGCGGGCTCGCTGGCGTTGGGATGTTTTTCTGTACGGCAGACATTCCATCTCCTCCTTTGCCGGCTTGGGTTTCCGGCTCTGCTGGCTCAGTGGTCGCACCCGAGATCTTCCTGCGGTTCCGCCTCTTCCTGGGCTCAATTGGCCCATGGCGGGGCTGGTTCTGTTCTGCCTCGAATCTCTCACCTTCTGTTGGTGGTCGGGTGGCTTTGTTGGTGTCCCACCTGCGTGCTTCTTCTTGGCGACAGTGTGGGTTTTTTTGGCGGTCCTTCCTTTTCCTTCTGCCCTTCTTAGGTAGCTGCATTTGTTGGCGTGGTCTTGTTCTTCTCTTGTGGAGGTTCGGGGCAGTCATCTTGTCCCATACTGTCGCCTCATTTGAAGGAGCCTCTTCAGCTTGCTTTCGGTATTGATTTTGTGTGTGTGCCGTTTCACAAGCTGTCTCGTGCATCATTTCACCTCTGCCTGCTCATGCGCTGCTTGAGCTGTCCTGGTCATTGGACAGAGTGCTGTTTTTTCTTTCTTCTCCATGGTTTGTTGTGGCCCCTTCGGTTCAGGATTGTTTCGCGGAGGCTCTTTTTTTGTTGGCATTGGCCTCTAGGGGTCGGGTCGGTGAGCTTCATGCTCACCTCCGGCGCAGGGGTTTTCTGCTCCTTCGGTCGTGGCAATAAGTTTGTTCATCTGCAGCCTTCTCCTTCTTTTCTGACAAAGGATGAAACTGCTGCTTTCCAGAAGGGTCCATCGGTTGTTGATGCTTGATGTTTGGCTGGTCGGGCCGGGGGTGCATCGTATTTTGTGTCCAGTTGCGGCCCTCCGCCGTTATTTGCGCGCCTTAGCCTCTGTGTCCGGGGACGTGCTTTGGGTTGATCCAGTTTCCCTTCTTCCCTGTTCGTGGGTGTGAGTCTCCCAGGTCATCAGCAGGGTTGTGAAGGCTAGCCAGCCTGCATTCTATCCCCGTGCCCATGAAGTTTCCAAGTTTGCTGCTCTATTGCTGTTTTTGGCAACATGTCCTGGGCTGACATTCGGGTGTGGGGATTTTGATGGTCAAACAGGGGCTGCGAGTTATCTCGTGAACGTTCCTGGGCCTAGTAGGGCCTGTGTCGCTTTGGGTTGGCAGTTGCAGCCAATTGTCTCGGCTTAGAGTTGGGGAGTGAGTGGCGACTGCTTCCCGGGTAAGTCCCTTCACTTTTCCTCTGTGGGTAGTTAGCTCTGGGGAGCCGAAAGGGCTCCCCCCAGAAAACCAGCATTGAATGTAATGAAACGTCATTTTCTGGGTGAGTCCTGGAGGCTCCCGGCATCCCTCCCTCCCTCCGGTTGGAAATTTTTTGTGTGTTTTGACATCCAGCCTTAGAACTGGGGTGTGGATCGCTGGCGCAGTAGGTCTGGGGCTACCATGAGGTTATCTTGAGATGATTTCGTGGCTTTTTAGTGTCCCCGCAGCCCGGTCCTCGACCAGGCCTCCACCCCCAGGAAGCAGCCCGTGACAGCTGACTAACACCCAGGTACCTATTTTACTGCTAGGTAACAGGGGCATAGGGTGAAAGAAACTCTGCCCATTGTTTCTCGCCGGCGCCTGGGATCGAACCCAGGACCACAGGATCACAAGTCCAGTGTGCTGTCCGCTCGGCCGACCGGCTACCCCTTCCCCCTTCCCAAGGAGGGGGGGCTGCGCAGACAGCGGTGCGACGATGGGTGACGTCATACTAGTTTGCTCGTTTTTGTTTGGGGAGTTCTATTCACTTGTTCGGCTTTTGGTTGCAATTTTCACCAGAATAGTGGTTTGTTTTGGGATGCCTACCTTTGTGGGTGCCTAACCCGGTCGATGGCAGACATAGAATGCTTCCAGTTACATGGGGGTTACTATAGGCCATTGCTTCCCTTGCCTCTCTAGAGATGGCCAGGTTCTGGCTCGTGGTCCCCAGTAGCCTCCGGGACTCACCCAGAAAATGGCGTTTCATTACATTCAATGCTGGTTTTTTGGATTTTATTACACCGTTATCTTTCCTACACATTGGGAAAGATAACGGTTTGCCCTTCTGTCATGACCCAGCAGAAGGAAGAGTAATAATTATTAATTACAACAGTTATTATTATAATTATTATTCTAATAATAATATAATTAATAATTATCACTCTTCTTTCTGCTGGGTCATGAAGAAAGTCGGCCTCGGGTGAAAGGAGAGTGTGACGTTCTCTGTCTGGAACCCGTAGGTGCGGGACTTAGACGTCCACCTCCTGGGTATCGTGCGGCCCAAGCACTGCTTCAGGAGGCTGGGGTGGTTGTTCTCCGGCCCCGACCACGGCGATCTCCGGGTTTGGAGTCCCTGTGCCTTCTTTTACAAACTTCGAGGTAAATTTTGGAGCTGGAGCCCCTAGGGCAGTACAGTACAGTGTTGACTTCAACCTTGTTCTGACAGTTCCTGTGATGGCACTTGCGTTTCATTTGGAGAGTTTTGGCGTCATAGAGAGGGTGGGGACCTGTTGCATGGGTGACAGCTTCTCCTCCGTATGAACCTATCCTGGCTTTGCGCCCAGGAGAGGCCAGTTCAGACTGGCAACCAGAGCACAACTCCATAGTCTCCTGAGACTGATGGATGCTTACTACTACTACTACTACTACTACTACTACTACTACTACTACTACTACTACTACTACTACTACTACTACTACTACTACTACTACTACTACTACTACTACTACTACTACTACTACTACTACTACTACTACTACTACTACTACTACTACTACTACTACTACTACTACTACTACTACTACTACTACTACTACTACTACTACTACTACTACTACTACTACTACTACTACTACTACTACTACTACTACTACTACTACTACTACTACTACTACTACTACTACTACTACTACTACTACTACTACTACTACTACTACTACTACTACTACTACTACTACTACTACTACTACTACTACTACTACTACTACTACTACTACTACTACTACTACTACTACTACTACTACTACTACTACTACTACTACTACTACTACTACTACTACTACTACTACTACTACTACTACTACTACTACTACTACTACTACTACTACTACTACTACTACTACTACTACTACTACTACTACTACTACTACTACTACTACTACTACTACTACTACTACTACTACTACTACTACTACTACTACTACTACTACTACTACTACTACTACTACTACTACTACTACTACTACTACTACTACTACTACTACTACTACTACTACTACTACTACTACTACTACTAC